AACTGTAAATTAGAGAGTAGATGCAGCTCCTCCGACAGAAATCATATGCAGCATTAGTTTTAGTCGTAGTAGGACCAGGTGGTCTCCTCAGTGAATGTATCACACGTGGAAACCTTTAACTGTGGCCCTAGGTTTGTGTTTATAGATATGTTGTGGTCCTCCAGGGTGGAAAAGGATATTACTGTTAAAATTTAGTTATTTTACACACACAGCAGTGCTAAGCTATTATCATAGATCCTCCCGTTATTTGCATCTTGTTAATTAATAGCCTGTATGTTAGTAATGATTTTTATTGTTTTAACTGCGTCGTTTTAATTATTTTTCTGCTAAAGGTGACGCTTGCTTGCGGCAGTTTCACTTGTCACTTTTACTCTTCCAGACTACTTGAAGGAGCCGCTGGATAAGTACATGTCCCAGTTTCCCAAAGTGCGAATCATCCGTCTCAAAGAGCGCCAGGGCTTGATCAGGGCAAGGCTTGCTGGAGCTGCTGTTGCCAAAGGTAAGCACGGTCAACATGTGTGTATATAGTGTGTATAAAGCTAGCAACTGCATGGATGAGGGTCTGTGTTGACAACAAAGACAGCAATAGGATTTACATGAATGTTCCACTGCTCATTATTCATATGTAGGTGAATACAAACTGATTATAGACTACATGCAGGGTTTCAAGTGTCAAGAGCTAAAATAGGCTAATCCTGTAGATGCAGAAAAAAACATTATCTCCTTGTGAGTTGTTTGCTCCTATTTGTCAAACAGCAGCTATGATTTGTGCTGCATGAGCTTTTATAGTATCATGCTAATCAAATTACATGGACAGAAGCTGTAGATCCCACAGAGAGAGAACATAAAGCTTACAGGCTGTGTTTGTTCAGCTTTTGTACTTCAGATGAGCTAATGAGATAAGTAGTATGTAAATATCCAGGGTGAAGAATTATTTACAGACTGGAGATGGAGAAGAGTCCTGTGGGCTTGAAATAATGAAATCAAAGCAGAGCCACGTTGTCAGGTCGACGTCCATTTGCTATGTAGTTGAAACGTGTTCGTTCAGGCGGTAGAAATGTTTATGTTTTTGCTAAATCTCAAGATTGGCACAGATGGATGCATATTAAAGAGGTGAAAAGTACAGTCTGTGACCTGATCTCTGTATCTGCACGTCTGAACTTTCAGTCAGATTCTGAAAGTCCATATGCAGTTGAAACCAGAAGTTTACATTCACTGCATAAAAAGACCTAAAACATTTTTTTTCTCACTGTCTGACATTAAATGTGACTAAACTTTTCCTGTTTTAGGTCAGTTGGGATCACCAAAATAATTTCTATTAAACACCAGAATCATGAGAGATTTTTTTTTTTTAGAGAATTTTTTAATTATTTTCTTCAGTCAGAAGTTTACATCCACTAAGCTGCCTTCAAACTGTTTGGGAAAGCCCAGATGATGATGTCATAGCTGTTGAAGCTTTTCATAGGTTAATTGACAGCATCTGAGTTAATTGGAGGCACACCTGTGGATGTATTTTAAGGCACACCTTAAACACATTGCTTCCTTTTGTGACAACATGGACAAATCTAAAGCAATCAGCCAAGATATCAGGAAGAGAAAAATGAACCTCCACAAGTCTGGTTCATCCTTGGGGACAGTTTCCAGATGCCTGAAGGTTCCACGTTTATCTGTTCAAACAATTATACACAACTATAAACATCATGGGACTGTCCAGCCATCATAGCACTCAGGAAGGAGACGGTTCTGTGTCCCAGAGATGAAGTGTTTTGGTGTGAAACCCAGAACAAAAGCTAAAGACCTTGTGAAGATGCTGCTGAAGCTGGTCAGAGAGTCATTATCCACAAAACTGAACTGTAATGACCATCGTTACATTTGGAGGAAAAAGGAGGAAGCTTGAAGCCTGACAACACCATCCCAACTGTGAAGCACAGGGGTGGCAGCATCATGTTGTGGGGGTGTTCTGCTGCAGGAGGGACTGGTGCACTTCACACAATAGATGGCGTCATGAGGAAAGAACATTACATGGAAATACTGAGGCAACATCTCAAGACATCAGCCAGGAAATCTGGCCGCAAATGGGTCTTTCAAATAGACAATGACCCTAAACATACCGCCAGATTAGTTACAAAGAGGCTTCAGGACAACAAAGTCAATATTTTGGAGTGGCCATCACAAAACCCTGATCTCAATCCTGTGGAACATTTGTGGGCAAAGCTGGAAAGGTGTACAAACCAGACTCAGTTATACCAGTTCTTTTTATTGAAGTACTTTAAAACTTCAACAAACAGATAGCTAGTTGAGTGACATAAAGTATGCAGCTGTGACTGTTGGTTTAGCTGTAACAGGATGTTTGCTGTCCTCTGTTGTAGGCGAGGTTCTCACCTTCCTTGACTCCCACATTGAATGCGGTGTGGGATGGCTGGAGCCGCTCTTGGAGAGAGTCTATCTGGATCGCAAGAAGGTGCCCTGTCCAGTTATTGAAGTCATCAGTGATAAGGACATGAGGTGACTCAGTAACACAGTGTTTAAGTAACAGACAAGCCAAATATTTTTAATAATGTTGAATATTCACTAAAACAAAACAAAATTCAGCAAATGCCATGTTGACATCGTTCCTTGTGTTTTGGTTCGTGGTTCTCAGTTACGTGCTGGTTGACAACTTCCAAAGAGGGATTTTCAAATGGCCTTTGGTGTTTGGCTGGAGCGCAGTGCCAGAAGAGTACATTAAGAAGACCAACATGACCATCGCAGATCCAATCAGGTACACTCCTCACCACCTTCTTTTATATTTATTTTTACTTCTTGGTCGTAAACTCATGATTGGTGTTTATTTTTATTATACATTCTTTTTCAAATCTTACAGATGTCCAGTTATGGCTGGGGGCCTTTTCTCCATCGACAAAAATTACTTCTATGAGCTTGGGACCTATGATCCTGGTCTGGATGTGTGGGGTGGAGAGAACATGGAGATTTCATTTAAGGTACACCTCTCATCTAATTCATGGCTGGTTATTGGTTGTGGTTGTGTGTAAACTTCCCAGAACTGTTTTTCACACACGTTCCCATTTGATCAGATCTGGATGTGCGGAGGAGAAATCGAGATCATCCCCTGCTCTCGAGTGGGCCACATTTTCCGAGGACAGAATCCTTACAAGTTCCCCAAGGACAGGCAGAAGACGGTGGAGCGTAACCTGGCGAGGGTGGCCGAGGTCTGGCTGGATGAGTACAAGGACCTTTTCTATGGCCACGGCTACCACCACCTGATGAACAAAAAGGTCACTGACATTGGCAACCTGACGGAGCAGATTGAGCTGAGGAAGAGGCTCAAATGCAAGAGCTTCAAGTGGTACCTGGATAACGTGTATCCGGAGATGGACGCTCCTTTAGCCAAAGCTGAGGGCCTGGTATGTAGATGTTCTAACAGATTACAGCTTGTATGTTTTTGTCTCTTGCGACTCACTTTAACCCTCTGAACCCCAAGCAGTTTGTAGGGTTTTGTGTTTTTTTTGTCCCTGTCACATTTTTTACTGGGTGTGGGTTTACTTTTCACTATGATATAAAGTGCTGCACCTCAATGGAAACAGCACAGTGGTGGCTGGAAATAGAGAGTACTCAAGAATGTCTATTTTGCAATATGACACACTTATAATTTCATAAATCATAAAAAAGAAAAAAAAAACAGTTGAATTTCTTTGATTATTTATTTTTCAAAAATGGAAATTGACATGTACAATATTTCTCCAAGTGCCAACTACTAGATGACTATATAGCTAACATATTTTACTACTTATACTTTTAATTTGCTTCCATGCTTGTCTCCTGTCTGCTCAATGTAAACACAGTCTGCAGTTCAGCTGACAGGACTCAGAATTTCTGTTGTGTTACTGTTACTAATGGCTGTACAGTTATGACAAGTACAAGTTTTTGGATTTCTTACAGAATGTGTTTCGTGCAAACCGATTATTTTTGGCAGGTTTTTAAATGAGACACGCTGAATAAAGTGATTGTAATGAAATATCACAGTTTTAAGTTTAGATTTGGTGTCAGCTTTCCGATAAACAGATTACTTCATGGGCTGAAACTCTTTTTTTTTTTTCCAGTTCCTGGCTTTGATAAATGGTGTAATTTTGCCTTTTCAAACCTGCCAGCTGGTTTTGGGGTTCAGAGGATTAAACACTGTTTACATTTTCCTAAATGATAGGTTAAAATGAGAGCTTGTGATGCTTTTCCACTATGAAGCTATTGTTTCTTTACTGAAACCCTCCAAACAAAATCTTCCTAAACACAGGCTCTAGTTGTGCTCCTTTATAACAAAGCATCACTGTTCATTAAAGTTGGTGACAGCACTCTGTCGTGATTCATTATAACAAGGACCATTTCATCAGCTAACAAATGTTTGCAACGTTCATGTGTAATGTTTTTCTTTTTAAATGTCTTTTTGTAGGTCTTCAATCGTGGTATCAGAAAATGCCTCGCTGTGCAGAAAGGTTCTTTGTCCTTTGAGAGATGTGATCTCAGCAAGCAGGTGGGCTTTATTTTATTTCACAGTGAAACTAAACTAAAACGTTTGCAAGTGTTCATCATTTCTTTTTTTACACTTATTTTTAGTCTTCCTGAGGGAAATAGGCAGATAATATGCAAGTTTGTGGTCATGACTGTGGTAATTATGGGGAGGCGTAACGAAAATATCCAGAAATAGACCTGCACCAGCTCAACTGCACTCAGCAACGGAGACAGGACCCAAGCCACGATAAACAAGGGTGGAGCCCAAGACGCCAAGTCTTTGGAAATCTGGTCTTTTTGGATTAAGATCAGCCCCACTGAGGGCTTCCTTTAAAATCTTATCTTGTTCATGCAGCGTAATTACATGCTGGTTGCTCTCTCTCTCTCTCTCGCTCTCTCTCCCTCTGTCTCTTATTCTCCGGTATTCAGAGTCAGCACTTTAATTACACCTGGCTGAGGCATGTTCGGCAGCAGGACCTGTGTGTTGGTCCTCAAGACAAGGGCAGCAGCTTTGCTTTACGACCATGTGACAACACCCAGCCCGAACTCCGCTGGTTCCATAAATCCTCCACCCCCTCTTTAGTAAGTTGACTTTGGGTGTGCCGTTGAACACCTGTCAGGTTCACTCCCTTTAATGTCTTAAGTATGTCTTAATAGAAATTTAATTACATATGAGGCGTCTTGAAATAACAGAGCTAACGTGGTCTGACGTGTTTCTGTCAGTGGACAATCAGTGCAGTGGAATCAAGGAGTGTTTACGTGCTGAGGCTCTTGTTCATTGATTGTGTTTTGTCTTCGTCAAGGGGGAGCACCTCATTTCAGAGTTTGTGTCCCACCACATGTGCCTGGAGGCAGAACCTCAGAGCGAGTCACTTCGTCTGAACCCCTGTGAACCCAACAACACCTTCCAGAAGTGGCAGTTCACGCACTACAACGTCTAGCGAGGAGACTTAATTGAGTTTTATGTGTTAAACACACACTGTAGAAACCTGCAGTGGCCTCACACTACAACGCGGTCTGCGGTCCAGCCCCGAAACGTGCCTTTCCAGAGGAGGAAGGGAAGGCTTTGGTGGCAGCAATATGTGTGATATAAAGTGTGGAGCTGTGTTGCCAGAGGGAACAGGAATATTTATCTATTCGGGAGGAGGACTTTCTAATTGTGGAAAATCTAATCTACGCTGGCATTTGGGGAAAAGTGCCTGAGATGATTAAGAACTGGGACTCAAGTGGACGCCTGTGGAAGAACACTCCATCTGACAAGTGCTTTATTATAACATATGCAACGATAAAAGCTAAACAGTACGGGACCTGTTGGGACTGAATGAGTTAAATTGCATGCAGTGTGGAATTTTGTTTCAAAACATATCGCATATCTTCAGTGAGACTTTTTCAGGATGTATTTTTACGTTTGACGTGTCACTTGGGTACAACGGCTGCTTCTGTGGTTTACAACGCTGCATTCTTTAGGTTGGGGTTTCGCTGTGAAAATGATCCCTTGGTATGATTTTCTTTTTGTCACTAGAGGGAAGTGTTGGTTCAAAACACGCAATAAACCTGTGCTGTGATTTCATGACCTTTTTTTTTTTTTTTAGCAAACCTTTTAAAGAGAACTTGATGAAAATGCATTTTCTTAAGACAGTAAAAAACAAAAAATAAAAGATGAAGGTGAAGATTTAATCCCACTGACTTCTTTATTGTCTTTTGGAATTCTACGTTTGTGTGTTTACATGATCTCTTAGAAAAGACATAACCCTACTTTGGTTAAACTACTGAAGCTCTAGCACTGAACAACATCTTAGTTATTATAGCGAATACAATTACAAAGCACTGAGCTTCACATTTGCTTATTCTGCGACACAAACATCCTTCCAAAATCATCACATTAAAACATCGAGTACCTCTTAGAAACACAGTGAAATACAACAAATACAAAAAGAACCTTTTATTTAGACGTATGTAAGGTTTATGGCACCCTGGAAGATGCATCAGAGATTCAACACAAGTAGATTATAGAACAAACAGATGTATAAATCGTACACCACATGGCACACATGCTCATTCATTGTTATGTCCACAAAAATAACAACGAAGCCCTCGTCTTACTTATTCATCAGCATGTGCTCAAACTCCTTTATCTTCTGGCGAGTGTTGCCTCTGCGGATCCTGCGGTAGGACACGGTGCTGTACTTGGAGGAGGTGAGGTGGTTGAAGGCGTCACCGCCGCCGCATTTCTTCGGCAGAGGCAGGGTATAGGAACCTGGACTGGGGTTTTGATGAAATCCATGAAAGCCGCGGTCCTGCTGGGCTTCCTGGTCCACCTCAGGCCGCCTGTCACCCGATATGTGGCGTTCGGCGCCAGACAGCTGTTTTGGGACTCCTGCCGCCCTGCTCGGCCTTGTACTGCTCTCATTAAATACTTCAAAGGAATCAAGTTGTGGTGTTTCCACTTCTTCTTCCTTAACTCGTCGATTCGCTGAAAAGGAAGAAAAAAATGTTTCCATTCTGTCAGCAAATGCATTCTTTATTATTTCACCACACAGTAAGACTAAACTCCTCTTACCTGTGTCTGTTGGTATATTTTTCTCAGGTTGTGTTTGCATGTCTACAGTTGTGCAGCTTGCTTGCAGAAATTCTCCCCAAGTTCTCACCAAGTTTTCTGGAGTTGCACCAGACTCTGACACATGCATTTGTTCAGTTTTTGTTGTCTGGAGCTTTCGGCATTCCTCTTCACTCCAAATCACCTGCTGGCTTGTTTTCCTCTCCATCTCTTTGTCAATAATGACTACTTCTCCTGGAACATCCTCCCTCTGCTGGTAAAGCTCAACAGCACTGTTGACACGCTGTTTGGCACCAAAGTCATATGATGTGGCATCTTTGTTGCCCTGGTGAGCTTGCTCCTCATCACTGTAAAACACAGAGTCATCTCCCTCCTCCATTAACCACAACTCTCTGTCCTCAGCCTCCTCCAGAGTCTTTAAGGCCTCGAGAGTGATCCCACCGATGATCTCCAGCACATGGGATGCCAGCGCGTCTTCATCTTCTGATCTGAGTGTCGGAGTGTTTGGAGGGATCGTCTCCATGTTGCTTCCCTCTGCGATGCTGACAAACAGTTCTTGATGCTGATTCTCTGCAGCCTTGTCACATTGTCTGCTCCACTGCTCCAGGCGTGTCGTTCATGTTCCTCGCTGTCAAGGAACTGAGAAAGAATCCATGCTGCATTTCAGTCAACAGGTCAGCCTCTGTAGTGTGCTCTCTAGTGCTGGTACCATGTAAATCTGTGTGTGTGTGTTGAATCACTGAAGAACAGTGGTTTTGTTGTGGGCCCAACAAAGCCTCATTGTGACTCCGGCATCTGCATATTGAGTGATTGTACTCATGTTTTAAATCTCTCCTTATTTCTGTAGCGTTTTCAGTCTGGATTAACATTCTGCTATATGTTTTCTCTACACGACACACACTTTACCGGGAATGGTTTTGCTCATGGACCGAAGCAAAGCCCTGTTATGTCTTGAGGATTAAGAACGTAAAGACTTTAAGGTCTTAAGATACCTGAGCTGCTGATATAACGTTCTGAAAACTTACAGTATATGCAGCGAAATCACCCTGGAGGTCCTCTCCGTTCTGTTGGTGGAAAGCGCATCGACTTCAGTACAGTTTTAAGGTACCTGAAGTTTGAGTTTGTCACTTTTATAACATGTAGTTTATTTTTAGTTGTACCATTTTATTTCACATTGAATATCAGCAGTTTCCA